GTCCCTATCCATTGGTCCGTCTCCGTTGGTCCGTCTCCGTTGGTCCGTCTCCGTTGGTCCCTATCCGTTGGTCCGTCTCCGTTGGTCCCTATCCTTTGGTCCGTCTACGTTGATCCGTCTCCGTTGGTTCCTATCCGTTGGTCCCTATCCGTTGGTCCGTCTCCGTTGGTCCCTATCCGTTGGTCCGTATCCGTTGGTCCGTCTACGTTGGTCCGTCTCCGTTGGTCCCTATCCGTTGGTCCGTTTCCGTTGGTCCGTCTCCGTTGGTCCCTATCCGTTGGTCCGTCTCCGTTGGTCCGTCTACGTTGGTCCGTCTCCGTTGGTCCCTATCCGTTGGTCCGTCTCCGTTGGTCCCTATCCTTTGGTCCGTCTACGTTGATCCATCTCCGTTGGTTCCTATCCGTTGGTCCGTCTCCGTTGGTCCGTATCCGTTGGTCCGTCATCGTTGGTCCATCTCCGTTGGTCCCTATCCGTTGGTCCCTATCCGTTGGCCCGTTTCCGTTGGTCCCTATCCGTTGGTCCGTCTACGTTGGTCCGTCTCCGTTGGTCCGTCTCCGTTGGTCCCTATCCGTTGGTCCGTCTACGTTGGTCCCTATCCGTTGGCCCGTCTCCGTTGGTCCCTATCCGTTGGTCCGTCTCCGTTGGTCCCTATCCGTTGGCCCGTTTCCGTTGGTCCCTATCCGTTGGTCCCTCTCCGTTGGTCCCTATCTGTTGGTCCGTCTCCGTTGGTCCCTATCCGTTGGTCCGTCTCCGTCGAGGCCACTATGTACTGATCCTGCGTCCGCACGTTGTACTTTATGTTTCAGTATCCACAGGAATATTGGTGAAGTAATGTCGAAGATCAAGCTTGTCTCCTCTCTGTCCTGGCTATGCTTGATTAACTTCTACAACACTCATTAACTTTTCATTTGTGATACTATGATTGATTAAGATCATGAATACGTAAACAAAAGGGATTTGAAGAAATTTCCCTGTATAAGAAATTCTTAAACTGGGAGGAAGAGGTTGACAGGCGATTGCGTGTATGGTTAAAACACACCGGAGTCGTTCAACTATTTAAATAAAGGCAGTTGTTGGAGGGAGTTCAAAAAACGATGCGGAGAATAGGGCTTTAGCGGATTGAGGCATCATGGGAGAGAATGGATCTACTAGTGATGAGTACTTCTGTTCTTTAGGTAACTGCACTGTTCTGATTGGCTAGCCAATAATAATGCTTGACCAATGGTCTTGTGTCATACACCTTGAAGAGCAGGAAGGTAAAGCTCAAAAGAACCCAATAATTGGTGGTCCAATCAAAATAATGGCCCTATGTCGTAAGTATCCGGGGGGCGGGGAGACGAGAAGCTCCATCCCTGGCCTTCTCTCATAGGCAGGTTAATCAAAATTGTGGCCTTGCATCGTTCATATCTACCTTCAGTAGTTCCATGTTCCGGAATCTCACCTTTATTTGACCTGATTATCACAGGTGTCATCGTCAATTCTATCTGAATGTGTGTTATATCCCTGATCAAAACAAACCTGACCTGTAGAGATTAGATTTGTGTCACTCATTTCAACGAAAACACTCTTTATCAAACGAAAAAAAAAACACACACAAGTTAAACAGACCTAAGACCTTAGACGACTAATCCAACCCAAGCTTGCAATTTCAATTCTCACATTATACTCTATAAGTGACACGAACCAGAAAATTCATGTTATCGCATTGTTTTAATATGAAAATGTTTTTCTTTCTTTAGAAATAAAGAGTAGATCACCAGTCAAACTTTGACACCAGGCATGGGGGTCATAATTTATTTTCAAATTTTGTCGATAGAATTTTGTGCCTTTGATATTAAAAATGCAGTCGGCGGTGTATGCATTTTTGGACTTTTTTGTAAAAGTAAATTGTCAGAGAAGTTTTCTTCTTCTTCTTCTTCTTCTTCTTCTTCTTCTTCTTCTTCTCTTTCTTTTTTTTTGCGTTTCGTTTCTTTTTTTCTTCGATATGTCATGTCCCTTCAGTACGTAGGCGATCGTGGCTCTCCACAATCTCCTGTCTTTTATAGCTCTTAATAAATTTTATCTTTTTGTTAGCTCTCTTAAACTCCCGAGGTAGATTATGTATTGCTTTCGTCTGTACCTCTTGCCTTCAATATGTCCTGTGTGTATCAAATTTTCCAAGCCCTCTTTCCTCATTAAACGCCCTAGAAATTTCAGTTGTCTTTGCCTGGTGTTAAGTATAAGTGTTCTTTGTGTTTCCATCTTCTCTAAAACATCGTTCTCGCTCGCTTTTGGTCCAAGGTATTCTCATCATCCTTCTGTAGATCCACTTTTCTATTGCTTCAATATGTGCGATAGATATAAGCTGACTGTAGACTTGAATAGGTTAAGATCGTAGTGGTTGGGGAAGCATCATCTCGGGAGTCTGTTCAACAGAGTGGTCGTTCTGAGGAAGAAGATGACCGCGTGGAACTGCCTCCTAACCGAAGGAACGCGAGGGGGATAATGGTGATTTGATGACGTGATCATGACTGTGAAGGTCTGAATTGGTGGAACAAAGGAATATAGATCGTTTGAACATTTGTCCAGGCAGTAGCGATAGAATAGCGAGAGGCAAGCAACGTTTGGTCTAAAGGGAAAGTGGTTGTAGGGTGGAAGATAATTCATCACCTACAAGGAGGCGTCAACGATTTTGTACACTGTCAAGATTGAACAGTGAGGATTGGGCAGCTGGAAACCATTTTTGGTCTGATCTGATTCCTGTAAAGATAAAAGCATAGCAGAAAGACACAGGTACTTTCTGAAGCAGAAGAATGAGCCGGCCATTTTCTCGGCATCTATAGTATTTGACCTCCTTTGGGAAAGAGACCAGATGTGGCCGCAATACTCCATTTTTTGTCTGATCTGACTGGTGAAAAAATAAAGCACATCAGAAGGAGTCAGGTACCTTTTGAATCGGAAGAATGCGTTGAGCATTTTGTCAGCATCTTTAGTAAGGGATAGTCTTTGGGAAAGAGCCTAGATGTAGTAGAAATACTCCATTGTTGAGAAACGTCGAGATACAGTCTCTGACTGTGTTCGACGTTTGTCGAACTCTCTGCTTTGGCAGAGAGGAACCCGGACGAAGCTTTGCCGAAGGGCAAGGTTTCGTCCGGGGAGGTAGACAGGCCCTGAACCCGTCTAGGCGGGTTCAAAGGCTATATTTTTGGCCGAGCCTACAGGGCTCTGCGAAACCCACTTTAAACTCGGCCTTGTGCCACATATATTCCTCGTGGGCGGGATATTAAATACCGAAATACTCCATTTTTTTTGTCTGATCTGACTTCTGTAAAGATAAAACATAGTAAAAGGACCCAGGTACTTTCTGGAGCGGAAAAATCAGCCGATCATTTTCGTAGCATCTTTAGTGTTGGAGGTACTGTGGGAAAGAGCTCGATATCGCAGCGATATTCAATTTTTGATCTGACTTGACACTTGCAAAGAGAAAGCATAGCAGAAGGAGTCAGTTACTTTCTAGAGCGGAAAAATGAACCGACCATTTTTTCAGCATCTTTAGTATTGTATTGCCTGTACGAAAGAGCCCAAATATGGCAGTAACACTCCATATTTAGTCTGATCTACTCTTGTAAATGGAAATCTTGTCAGAAAGAGTCAGGTAATTTCTGGTGCAGAAGAATGAGCCGACCCTTTCCTCAGCATCTTTGGTATTATCTGACATGTGGGAAAGAGCCCAGATATGACAGCTATATTTCATTTTTGGTCTGAATTACCACTTGTAAAAATAAAGAATAAAAGAAGCAGTAGCTTACTTTCTGGAGCGGGAGAATGAGTTGACAATTAGTATTTAGTATTGGAGCTCCTGTGGGAAAGAGCCCCTATATGGCAGCAATACTCCATTTTTGGTCTGATCTGACTCTTGCAAAGATAAAGCATGGCAGAAGGAACCAAATACATTCTGGAATGGAAGAATGAGCCGATCATTTTCTTAACATCTTTAGGTTTAGAGATCCTGCCTGAAAGAGCCAAGATATGGCAGCAATACTCCATTTTTGGTCTGATCTGACTTTTGCAAAGAGAAAGCATGACAGAAGGAACCAGAACGCTGTGTGTGTGTGTGTGTGTGTGTGTCTAGTAGGAATTTTTGTTTATGTTGAAGAATGAGCCGACCATTTTCTTAACATCTTTAAGTTTAAAGTTCCCGCGTGAAAGAGCCACGATATGACAGAAATACTCCATTTTTGATCTTATCTGACACTCATAAAGAGAAAGATTGTCAGAAGGAGGCAGGTATTTTCTGGATCGGAAGAATGAGCCGACCATTTTCTCCGCATCTTTAATATTGGTATTCCTGTGAAAGAAAGAGCCCAGATATGGCAGTAACATATTTCACCTTTATTAAAGCTTCATCGGAGAATGAGATATGGAGGAGAAAGAAAGAAAAAGAAAAAATCTGGTATTTTTAATTTTTGTGTTGTTTACTTCATGTTGGTTAAGCAGGCTTCACTTGCATTTTACCCTGTAAAGTAGCGTTCGTGTGAAAATTTATGTATCTTTGTGTATCATGACTCCAGTCTATCTATGCGGGAATCAAATAATAATGTATATTCGTTTAAGTGTGTGTGTGTGTGTGTGTGTGTGTGTGTGTGTGTGTGTGTGTGTGTGTGTGTGTGTGTGTCTAGTAGGAATTTTTGTTTATGTTGTCCGTATGCTGATTTGGGGGCGTTTTTACGTAAAACCGTTTGTCGTAGTGGTTGTTGAAGACAGACATATTTTAGATTCCAGTCCGGTCCATTACGTTCACTTACTTTCCTATTGGGAAAGGTATATATCCATCATCTCCCCGCCATGAATTAAATAGTAGTACTTGTATCCGGGAAAAATCATTGCTTTCTAAAAAAAATTGGTAAAGCAATAACCTTATATATATATATATATATATATATATATATATATATATATATATATATATATATATAATGAAACAGAAATATTCACACAATCCAAAATATGTTTCGTCTTTAAATAACCCAGGGGAGGCGGGAGACTTATCATCTCTCAGTTTCGTTTCTGTCTTCGGACTGAATGCTACTCAGTTGCGTCTCTGTCTTCGGACTGAATGCGACTCAGTTGCGTCTCACTCTTCGGGCAGAATGCGACTCAGTTGCGTTTCTGTCTTCGGACTACATGCGACTCAGTTGCGTCTCTTTCTTCGGGATGAATGCTACTCAGTTGCGTCTCTGTCTTCGGACTACATGCGACTCAGTTGCGTCTCTGTCTTCGGACTGAATGCGACTCAGTTGCGTCTCTGTCTTCGGGCAGAATGCGACTCAGTTGTGCTTCTGTCCGCGGACAAGGATGCCGCTGATGAAAATAATACTTTGTCGTGCCGGCTCTGGGAAACAGCTGCCCGAGACTGCAACCTTTCATTGCACTAGAGAGGAGGGGGAGGGTCGGTGGTCGCCGACGAGGCCAACGCAACCGACGGTTGCGGGGGCTTGGGTAATTTTTGTTCTTGGCCTCGCTCGGGTTCTTTCCATGTAAAAAGTTTGCTCATCTCCGTTCCATATATATACGCTAAAGTTAAATAATCCTAATGTTATATATATACGCTAAAGTTAAAAATTCATATAAAAATTCTCACTTGAAATTTTGAACTTTAGCGTTGCGACTAGCACGTTCCGAGATTGTACAACCGTCAATAAATAGTTAGGACATAACAAAATATGACATCATATTTTTTTGTGGAAATGATAAACTTGTATTAATTTCTACTCACCTAGATTTTGATCTGAGCATGACTTATCTCTTCGTCTCTTCGCTCCGTCCGTACAAGTTACTGAGAGGTTCGGCGATGTCTTTTTCTTCCACATCAACGCCGAGGTTGGTTGAAGCTGATTTTAAACTTCCATGATAGTTAGAATTGGAATAAAACCTAAACATCATATGTTTACCGTATATAATCGATACCATACGACCTTTGAAGACCTAATTTTGAAGCTAATTTGGCTACAGTAATTGGATATATAGTTTGGTCAACGGCGTAGCCAAGACCAGAAGTATATACGCTAATTTTATATCTCATGTATGATGCAACCTCCTTAAAATTAGCTTCAAAATTAGTTCTTCAAAAGTCGGATGATACGCATGAATAAGTAAGTGAATTTATACATTTTCTTTGTTTTTTTGAGAATTGACAACAGAAATAAAAAAACACTATTTAAAAGATTGTTTATTTACAAGAATTAGTTTATATTTACAACATCCTAAAAACTAATACAATTAGAACAAATGAAATGCAATATTTATCATTTACCAATTTATAAAGAAATAAATGTGAAAACAATTTTTTATTCATGAATTTATAAACATTAACTAAATTATTAAAATACGAGAACCCACTATTGCGACACGTTTATCAATGTTTGCTGCTAATTTTCTGTTTCTTTTCAAGCAGAATAAAATAGTTTAGTGGGTATGTAAAAAATTATTTTCGGTTGCTCGGCAATGTGAGTGGAATGAACGAAACCCAAGGCTTGAAATAACTGTTCAACAGCTTTTATTTCTGGTTAAAAAAAAAAAAAAGAGTGCAAAATTGTAGTAATTGCGGGAAAAAAGTGAGGTTTTCCAGTTAACAAAGTTCTTGAGTAGGTTTTGTTGAGGAAGATTTCTCCGCTAGTTCCCAAGGGAGAAACGAGATATCTGAGTGTGATACTTCTAGGACAGGTCTCGTCTTCTACAGCAAGGGTTGTGTGTAGTTTTCGATTTGGCAGATGTCTCAAAGGGAGATTTCTACGCCGGTTCCCACGGGAGGAACGGGAAATATGAGGACATAAAGGCGACAACTAAAAAAAGAAAGAAAGAAAGAAAGAAAGAACGAAAAAATGAAAGAGAGAAAAAAAGAAAGGAAGAAAGAAGGAAAGAAAGAAAGAGAGAAAGAAAGAGAGAAAGAAAGAAGGAAAGAAAGAGAGAAAGAAAGAGAGAGAGAAAAAAACAAAGAAAGAAAGAAAAAGATAGAAAGAAGAAAAGGAAAGAAAAAAGGAAGAAGTGAAGGTAAAAGCGTTTAACGGCTGTTTCATTGAAATGGAAAAAGTTGTCAATATCAAATATTTTCATTTGTACCTTCTTAAAATAATGACCAGCATTCATATTTATGATTGTTATTACAATATTTGGTCAAAGTTGTTCAGCTCAGATATTTAACGATACGATAGGGAAATTTATACGGATATTTTAGTATCGAGAGCCTATTCAATCATTAACTTAAGAATTAAGATTCATTAGAAATTTCAAATAGGAAAATCGTGAAATTTTCACGGGTTAAAACTAATCATTTTTAATTCTTAAAAAAATGGGAACATATTTCTACAGTTAAGTAAATCTCCTCTTCGCCAAATTACCATAAATTAAAATCTTTACAGTATTTCTTTTATAATTTTTAAATTTTTTAACTTTTTAAGTGTCTTCCCCATATATTTTCTCATGTTGAGAACCGGAAGTGGTATGTCATGGTAAAACCTGCTTGTCAGGACAATAAAAGAGAAAAAAAAAATCGTTGTTTCTTCTTAGTCACCTAAAGGCAGAAAAATAAACACACCACTTATCATCCATCTAAGCTTGGGTGTTACAGAGCAAATCTAATCGCAAAGGGTCATCAGTTTGGCCCAGTGGTCTGGCATTCAGGGTTAAATAGCGCTATATTTGGTTTTATCCTAAGTGCAGTTGAAACAGTGAGAACGGATGAATGTGTTCCTTACTCACAACTTGAGTGTGGATACAACACACACAATTTATCTCTCACTTTATGAATCGATTTGTATATATATATATATATATATATATATATATATATATATATATATAACGCTAAAGTTAAAAATTCATATAAAAATTCTCACTTGAAATTTTGAACTTTAGCGTTGCGACTCGCAAGTTCCGAAATTGTACAACCGTCAATAAATAGCACATTCTTAAAAACAATATCTTTCGGTCTACAAACAATTATTTCGTCTTCAAGTTTTAAATTTAAAGGAAAAAAATTACAGCTTGATGATGGAGACATGGATCTTCGAAAGTACTTGCTAAACTTAAAAAATATACACTAGAAACATCTGACAATAGTTTTATAAATGGGGATCACATCGTTCAATGGATTAACAGTATTTTAATGCATACATTATGTTCTACTAGCGAAGTGATTTCGCCATTAATCGCATTAATATTGCTGATTGATTCTATGTATGATTATTTCTTGATATTTAAAATATCTGCTGCCTGATATTATATATATATATATATATATATATATATATATATATATATATATATATATGTCACGCATTATGAAATGGACAAAGTCCGACAAGTATCTTAAAATAATTGTCTTAAAATAATTGTTGGACTTTGTCCATTTCATAATGTGTGACGTTATTTGTTTACATTTGGATACGCATGGAGAATTGTAGTTTAAAAACAGTAAAATCGACCTTGCTAACCGAAACGCTCCTCTGTGGCTAAATCGGTAAAAGCACGTCAGGCTATATGACGTTTCCGTATAGGATACAGGTTCGATTCCTGTTGGAGGACGCATATTTTCTATGAAAATTTCCCGGGCATTCAGGCCTGTAAATGTCGTTAATACTGTTTATTATAAACAGAGCATTTACTTAAATATTGGTATCTATAAAAAGAACGTATAAACATAAAAATGTCTTAAAATATATATATATATATATATATATAAGGTGTATTTTGATAGTAATAATTCTCTCAAACATGATTGGTTAAATAATATGGACAAGTTCTGTCGATCATGTTTTTTTTTTTTTTATCTCAACAACCTGAGTCAATACGCTCTTCATTATTACAATTATTTTATTGCTAGTTTTATTCCATCTTATTATTGTTACTTTTTATCCCAACACTCTGACTCTATACACTCTTCATTATTACTAGTTTTTTCTTACTATTTTTATTCCATTTTATTATTGTTGTTTTTTTATTCTAACACTCTTGGTAAATACACTCTTCGTTATTACTATTATTTTATTATGTGGTTTTATTCCATTTAATAAATGTTTCTTTTTTATCATCTGATAAGACGACCTAATAATTGATTATCATGCTTAACAAACCGCCCTTGATATACAAGATGCTCGTCTAAATGTCGGTCCCACTCCTAAATTTGTTCATTCCAAGGCGCGAAATCGTGTCTCGGAGGAAAGAAAAAATCGCTAAAATTTATATTTTTCATTCGCTAATATCAACCATAGATGAAATACGAGTGAATATGATATTTCGTTAGTGACAGGGCAGAAAGCCGGAACAACCATATTCATGGTTATTCAACGGCAGTAATCTCTGAATTTCAAAGTCATTTCTCTCTTTTCAAAAATAACAGTTAAGCAAATCTGCATCAAATCAAAGAACAATTCTCACTTTATTTATAGCCTTGTGCCAGTCTAAGCTAAGCTTGGTAAAAATCCTGGAGGGTTGATAAATATTTGTGCGTGTATTTTGTACCAAATTATTAGTTTATTGGCTTTTGTGTATATTTTTGTGAGCGTCATTTTTTGTTTGTATGTACCTTTTAATTTATTTAATCATGCTTATTATAAAACCCAGGTTGTGTGTGTGTGTGTGTGTGTGTGTGTGTGTCTGTACGTTTATATATTGAATCGGATTTCCTACATTTTTCAACCGATTTCAACAAAACTTCACAGGACTACGTAAAATTACCTTGCGGTGGTTCTGACAGCGCCAAAAATTGGAAAAACACAATTGTTTGTACACGAAATCAATTTGAAAACACGATTAAGAGGCATCACGAGAATGAAAGGGGGACAACTCATATCGAGTTATACTTATTATAAAACCCAGGTTGCTTGCGTTTATATATGGGATCGGATTTCCTACATTTTTCAACTGATTTCAACAAAACTTCACTTTTTTTTTTGGCAGGTAGTGTTTCTTATAGTCTTGCATACTTTTTTCTTTATTCTTACATTCAGAATGCTTTAAAAATTCCATTTACAAGACAATTGTTTATAATAAAATTCTATTCAATCGATAGACTCATAACGATTGAAAACAATGTTTTTGTTTGAGTTTGGGTTTGACCAATTCGTAAAAAAACAAACAAACAAAAAACCAAAAAAAAAAAAAAAAAAACTAATTAAGACATGCATGTCCGTCAACCTTAAACAATAATCTTTGTCAATTTTATTTTTCAGTCTGTATGATGGTCGATACTTGATCTATCTCTTACTGTTACATTCCCGGGCAACGCCGGGCTCTACTGCTAGTTTTTAATATATGGGAAAAATTCGCTTTACCATCTTTGCGTGTGAATATATGTGGCTTGGTCCATTTGTTCTTCATATGTGTTATGTAATGTGTGTATGAGTAAACAGTTTAACCGTCTGTGTCACGTACGCACTTACAGAAATTAAAAGTTTTTTTTAATGAAACAGAAGCTAGAAAAAATATCTATGAGTAATTTTTCCCAATGAGAAATCTACCATACAATATTATTCAACTTCACGGTCTCGCTCCAACGATCTCGCACTAACGAGATCACGTTTTTTTTTAAACATAAAAGAACGCTTGCCTAACAGGCTCTAGTCTCAACTGATTAAAGTCTTTTGTTAAGTCATTTTATTTTTTTATTTATTGAATTCATTTAATCATACAGTTTTTTTTAAAAATCCTGATTGAAGATTTTTTAAGCGCTTACATTCCTCTTAGTAATGTTTTTGGAATAACATTTATATTCTTTACAAGTTTAAAAAGTCTTGTAAAAAAAAAAAAAAAGTGAAAATGGTGAAGATGACTGTACTGTTTGCATGGTCCAACAAGTAATAAGATGATTGCTGGGGTGGCAAAGATTTTAAATTAATTACAAACTAGCTTAAGCTGCAAACACTGGAATCTTAGTATCGACTGATGATTAAGAAATATTCGTTGTCTTAACAAAACGAGAATTTAAAAAATGGCGAGCATTGGGGAGGTAGATACAATTCTGGCCTTATAAGTTTAATAATAATAATAATAATAATAATAATAATAATAATAGGTGAATATGTTGATGATGATAATAATAATAATAATAATAGTAATAATAATAATGGATGATCATGTTGATGATAATAATAATTATAATAATAATGAATGATTATGTTGATAATAATAACGATAATAATAATGGATGATATGTTGATGATAATAACGATAATAATAATAATAATGGATGATGTTAATAATAATAATGAGAATAATAATGGATGATTACGTTAATAATAATAATAATAATAATGGATGATTATGTTGATGATATTAATAACGATAATAATAATAATAGATGATTATGTTGATAATAATAATAATAGATGATAATGTTGATAATGATAATAATAGATGATTATGTTGATAATAATAATAATAGATGATTATGTTGTTGATAATGATAATGATAATAATAATGCATAAAGATATTCACATGGCAGTCCCAGCAGATTGTAATGTAGCTTTGAAGATCTTAAAAATAAAAAAACTATCAAACAAAAACGACTTTGAAATAGAAATCTCAAAAATGTGGCCCATGGGGACATCAATAATTCCAGTTGAAGTTGGAACATTTCTTGTGACGTGTTTCATCCGTTTAGATTTCCTCGGACTGGGCATTGTTGATAGCCTGATGTGCTATACCATTTAGCTACAGAGGAAAATGGTATAGCACATCAGGCTAAATGACGGTTCCGTATAGGATACAAATTCGATTCCTGTCGAAGGACACATATTTTCTATGAAATTTCTCGGACATTCAGGCCGTTAATTATTGTTAATACTGTTTATTATAAACAGAGCATTTACTTAAATATTTGTATCTATAAAAAATAATGTATAAACAATAAATATATTAAAATAATTGCCGGAGTTAGTCCATTTCATAATATATACGTACATTATATATATATGTTCCAAAGGTTGTCACAGCCGAGGTGATAGTGGGTGCAAGCTCCTACTGGTTATAAAATGCTTCCGTGGCATACGTCTTAAATAGCCCCTGGCAACTAAATCCTGCTCCGGGCTGGAGAATGAGCGAAGGCGGGCAACTGGCACCTCATGACCAGTTGTTTTGGGTAGATGGAGCTCGAAAGCCCAGGAGAGCAGGGTTTTTGGTGGGCGATATAGGATTTTAAGTATTAAAAAGATATTTCAACGTATACTACCCTAAAAATATATTCGAAGAAGATATGCAAAGAACCTGTATGAACCGTCCTGGATATGACGATAAACTACATCCGCGTCCAGGGTAAGACGATAAACTACATCCGCGTCATTGGTAAGACGATAAACTACATTCGCGTCCTGGGTATGACGATAAACTACATCCGCGTCATGGGTAAGACGATAAACTACATCCGCGTCCTGGGTATGACGATAAACTACATCTGCGTCCTGGGTATGACGATAAACTACATCCGCGTCATGGGTAAGACGATAAACTACATCCGCGTCCAGGGTAAGACGATAAACTACGTCCAACAGCAAGGCCTCTGATCAGAAGGCTTTGGGGAGCGTGGAACCACCTCTTAATTGCTGGTGTTCCCAGGTCCACCGTGACTCAGGGTGGTAGAACCTGTTAGGGTCCCAGCTATGGGCAAATAGTTAACCCCGAAACTGAGGTAAAAAGCATTATAAAAGTGTAAAAATAGGTTTTCATACCAGAAATACTTTGTAAAAAATTATTACCAGAAATAAATTTTTGAAGAAAAAAAAGAAAAAAAAACTATTACCAGCGATACATTTTTAAAAATAATATTACCAGCTATACATTTTTGAGGAAAAAAATATTACCAGAAATAGAATTTTTGACAAAACAAAAATATTACCAGGAAAAAAGTTGTCGGCATTAAATGACCCATTGAGGTTGATATGCCGTATTGAACTCACACTCTTTGAATCCTGCCACTGGATCTAACTAACGCCTTTATCCATTGTGCGATGTGTCTTTGAGGATAAAAGGCGTTGGTTAGATCCAGTGACAGGATTCAAAGAGTGTGAGTTCAATACCCGGTTAAGGCAGTGGAGAATTTGGAGAGGGGAATTAACAGAAGATAACTGATAACTGACATCCATTAAAGATGTCACGTGGAACTAGAACAGTCTACCCCAGTGAGCAAAATAAAGAGTTCAGTTCGACATTCCAACTACCCGAAGAAGGCCGGAACGTACCACGGTCGAAACGTTGTAATAAATATGGCGACAAAGATGAAGACAATAGTCCGAATAATGTAAATAGTGTACATAATACCTCATCTCAGACATATAGACAGATATTCGCTTAATATTTATCAGTTTCTAGTATATTCCTTTTATTGTATAATTATTAACGCAAATCGCTTCATTTTTTGTCAATACTTGTAACGCTAACCCTATCAATAAAATTAACCTCGAGCTTAAAACAAAATTATATATATGGTCAAGTTTGCTTTTTTTTTTGTTCTTTAATACTGTAGCAGCAGCAGCAGCCGCCACCACGTAAGTCGGCGCTCATTAAAGCGTGAAAAAATTATCCATTATGGATTTCCTTAGAGGAAAAAAAATTTCATAATGGATAATTTTTTCACGTTCGAATGAACGCTCGGCACATTGTCAACCGTTTTGCATTTAAAAGCCTAATGAAAAATTACGATAATAGATAACAACGCACATCTTTGTATAAATACTAATGAACAACATGTTTTGTACCACTTGTATCCCTGAAGATGATCTTGGATGTAGATCGAAAGTACTTGTGAAATGAAAGTAAAAGAAATTTAAACAGCTATAGCACATTTCTCTCATCCCTTAACATCAATACACGGAATGTTATTCGTGAGTATGTACAGATTTTGTTAAAAATTAGCAGACATAATGTCTGTAATTTATTCAATCAGCCATATTCTATCTATCTATCTATCTATCTATCTATCTATCTATCTATCTATCTATCTATCCCATTGTTAACCGCCTGACGAAACGTCTTTTGGATGTCGAAACAAATATACATTTTTGTCGCGGTAACTTGCATGTTCAAAGTAATAGTTTATATATATATATATATATATATATATATATATATATATATATATATATATATATATAGAGAGAGAGAGAGAGAGAGAGAGAGAATTCTCATTAAATAATTTAGACAAATTTTGTGCACTTATTTTTAATAGGATTATCTCATATTTACGGAAAAGTTTCTCAGTATCCTTATTTAAAGAAGAAACATGTTGATACATATTCATTTTATTACAAGTACTTTCGACATTAGCACAATGTCATCATCAGAGTTTTGTTTTTTCTAAGACAAAAATTATTGTGTTCATCATTTTTTAAGACAAAATTGTTGTGTTCATCTGAAAATTAAATTTTTACTTGCGAAGTGAAAAACGCTACAATTATGTACTGCTTTAGGCATGTCTTATTGAATAAATTGCAATCATTATGTCTGCTAATTTTTAACAAAATCCGTTCATACTCACGAATACCCTTCCGGGTATCGATGTTAAAAGATGAGAGAAATGTGCTATATCTGTTTAAATTTCTTTTATTTGCATTTCGCAAGTACTTTCGATCTTCTTCAAAAATCATCTTCAGGGGTACAAGCAATACAAAACTAGATGTTGTCCATTAGTACAAGTATTTATACAAACTTGTGCGTTGTTATCCATTACCCTAATTATGTACGGTAAGATTTTTAAATTTTATGATGTAAACACAGGAGAAACATCAAGGGAAGTAACTCAGTTATTGAAATGTCTAAATTTTTTGTCGTGACATCATAAAATTTTAAAATCGTAGAGTACATAATTTTAGCGTTTTTCTCTTCACAAGTAAAAAATTAATTTTCAGATGGACACAACAATTTTGTCGTAGAAAAAAAAGAGACTGATGATGACATCGCACTAACATCGAAATGAATATGGTAATTTTCTTTCGTCCTTTAATAAGGACACTAAGAAACTAGTCCATAATTATGAGAGGAACCTATTAAAAATAAGTAGACAGAACATATCTGAATTATTTAATGAGACACGTCTTAATGAAAAAATGTTGCCAATCTCTCTCTCTCTCTCTCTCTCTCTCTATATATATATATATATATATATATATATATTGGCAACATTTTTTAAATATCGAGAAAATTTATATTTATATATATATATATATATATATATATATATATATATATATAAAATAATGGACTCTCCCGTCGATTTCGACGTATGAGGATCTGACAGTTTATTGATTCAGTTATGAAATTTTGTGCGATAATCTTAAGTGGAATTTAAGACCCGCTGGTGATTTACAAAGGAGGCCACATATGGAGCAAGTTTGAGGATTAGATTGGCTGACCTTTTAGATCTTGCTCTCGCTTCTTGAAGATGATTCAGACAAGCAGATTGAAAATTCCTGAGTCCACTAAAACACGTTGATCTCCATTCTACCCGCTCCAAGACTACGCTCTCAAGGGTGTTATGTGGTATATTAACTGCTGACAAGTTGCTTTTCAGCTTGTCTTTGTATCTTAGCCATGGGCGTCCTACATTCCTGTAGTCCTGATCTAATTGGCTGTACATTAGGATCTTGGGTATCCTGTCATCAGACATTCTCAAGGCATGACCAGTCCACCGTAACCAAGAATATATATATAATTTAACCATCACAGCTTATATATATATATATATATATGTATATATATATATGTATATGTGTATATATATATATATATATATATATATATATATATATGTGTATGTGTGTATATATATATATATGTATGTGTGTGTATATATATATATATATATATATATATATATATATATTAATGAAAACAAGAAGAAATCCAGTCTGAGCCGACGCGTTTCGTCTTCCGACGGACTCTATCAAGACAAATCACATGTGTAAGGGTTTTATTTTGTGACAAATATTTATAAAAATCCTTACATTTGCCTTGATAAAGTCCCTCAGAGAACGTCGGCTAAGATAAGTTTTCCTTTTGCCTTTAATCATATTGTAATTTTACAGAGATAGTATATAAACTTTTGCACACACACACACACACACACACACACACACACACACACACACACACATATATATATATATATTATTGAATTAAGCATTATTTTTAGTGGTTACCTGTTTTTTTTTTTTAAAACAGTATTTTATTTTCAATTACCGGCTTGGATATTCGAGAAATCTTATTAAGGGAAAATATTCGAGAAAAATTATTAAAGTAAAATACGCCCTTCGCATTTTCGTTCATAAATTTTCTCGAATATTTTTTTTAAATAAGATTTCTTGAATATTCAGACAGGTAGACGAAAATAAAATATTCATTGTTTTTATTTTTAATATAGGATGCCGTTTAGTTGTTCCCATATTTCTGAGGAATACAGTAAATAAGTCAGGATGGTATACCAATGTTATTCGATGTCATGCGATAATCTGATGTGACTTGTTCTATATGAGTGAATAGCTGAATAAATCTATCTATCTATCTATCTATCTATCTATCTATCTATTTATTTCAGTCATCCTCATCTATCTATCTATTTATCTATTTCTTCTGTCATTCTCATATCTATCTATCTATCTATTTCAGTCATCCTTATCTATCTATCTATCTATCTATCTATCTATCTATCTATCTATCTATCTATTCTGTCATTCTCATATCTATCTATCTATCTATCTATCTATCTATCTATCTATCTATTTCAGTCATCCTTATCTATCTATCTATCTATCTATCTGTTTTAGTCATCCTCATCTATCTATCTATCTATCTATCTATCTATCTATCTATCTATCTCAGTCATCCTTATATCTATCTATCTATCTATCTATCTATCTATCTATGTCAGACAATTCAATAGCCAAAATTTCCAATGCTGTTTTCAAGTCAAGCTGGTGCAGTTTACTTCTTTTGGACAGTTGACAAAAACATTCATCTACTTGTAAAATACCCAACACGTGCACTGGTACATCTGTCTATCTTTCTTTTTCAGGTTTCTCCCTAAATGTTTACCATTCGCAATTTCTCATTTCGTAACGTATTGCCGCACCCCCTAACGAAATCCCCACCGCACCACTTCTTCCTTAATTTCCTCCTTTTTTAACTCTGTCGCCACCTCCTTCACCCATCACTTCCACGACCACCCTCACCCCATCCCAATCTATTATCTTCTCATTTAAAAAAAAAAATTGTCTTCTCTTTTTGTATGAGCCTGCTTTTGTCTACCACGCGGTGTCTGGTGACGTCATTCAATTTCCCTTGTGATCAACAGTTACTCGCAAGAACACGGCCCTGTCCATAAGGCGCATTGTCACACGGCTGACTAGTCCTAAATCAGGACGCTCGCGAAACAATGCTTTTGCCATGTCGAAAGGGAGAGGAAAGTTATCCAATTGTGTGTGTGTGTGTGTGTGTGTGTGTGTGTGTAACAGAGAGAGAGAGAGAGAGAGAGAGAGAGAGAGAGAGAGAGAGAAATGTGTGTATGGTATTGGTCTTTGCGTAAGCCGCGTTTGATTATTATTTATATTGTTTTTTAAATGTACCAAAAGCAGCCCTGCGTCTTCTATCTTTATGTGCCGTGTCCTCTCAGGACGTAGGCGATCACATATCTATCTATCTATCTATCTATCTATCTATCTATCTATCTATGTCATTCTTATCTATCTATCTATCTATCTATCTATCTATCTATCTATCTATGTCATTCTTATCTATCTATCTATCTATCTATCTATCTATCTATCTATCTATCTATGTCATTCTTATCTATCTATCTATCTATCTATCTATCTATCTATCTATCTATTGTCATCTTCATCTATCTATCTCTTTATCTATCTGACATTCTCATCTGTCTCTGCTATTCTCATCTATCTATCTATCTATCTATCTATCTATCTATCTATCTATCTATCTCATCTGTCTCTGCCATTCTCGTCTATCTATCAATCTCTGTCATTTTTATCTATCTATCTATCTATCTATCTATCTATCTATCTATCTATCTATCTATCTATCTCATTCTGTTCATATCTATCTATTTATCTATCTATCTATCTATCTATCTATCTATCTATTGTCATCCTCATCTATCTGTCTCTTTATCTATCTGTCATTCTCATCTGTCTCTGCCATTCCTATCTATCTATCTATCTATCTATCTATCTATCTATCTATCTATTGTCATCTTCATCTATCTATCTCTTTATCTATCTGACATTCTCATCTGTCTCTGCTATTCTCATCTATCTATCTATCTATCTATCTATCTATCTATCTATCTATCTATCTATCTATCTCTGCCATTCTCGTCTATCTATCAATCTCTGTCATTTTTATCTATCTATCTATCTATCTATCTATTTATATATCTATCTATCTATCTATTGTCATCCTCATCTATCTGTCTCTTTATCTATCTGTCATTCTCATCTGTCTCTGCCATTCCTATCTATCTATCAATCTGTCATCTATCTATCTATCTATCTATCTATCTATCTATGTTATTCTCATCTATCTAGCTATTCTTCTATCTCATTCTCTACTTTTTGCTAATAACCGTGCCTTCTGTCTTCTTGTAGTTTACGTTTAGTCCTTTCTTCTCGCTTTCCTTCACTAACTTCTGTAGAAGTTTTTGTAGATTTTTTTCCGTGCTATAACGGTAATCTAGGGCGTCGGATGAGCCTGAGTTCGCTAGACATAAAAATTGTTCTTCTTCCTTGTGGGTTATCCCTTTAGGACGTAGGCGACCATGGCTCTCCATAATTTTCTGTCCTTTGTAGATCTTTTTAAATTTTGTTATCTTGTTCCGTCATCATTTACTTAACCTCACCAAGTAGGTTATGCATTGTTTTCCTCTGTCCCTCTTGTCTTCAAAATAATGAAAACAAGCCAATTTGAAAAAAGCATAACTATTATGGTCTGTGGAAAACAATGCATATCACTGGCTGGCCTTAAGAGTCATGTCAGTGTATGGCACCGATGAATCTTTGTGAAATGTTGTGTGATGGCCATGCTCGATAGCGAGAAGGCAGCCTTTATGTATGTAGATCCCATAGACTTCCCCGGGGAGTATAGTATCACCTTCTGCCCAAGATTAGCCGTTATTGTCGTAGTTTTGGTAGCGATTAGGTGATGTTTTGGATAGCGGTTGAGGAAAGACAATTGGCCATACTTCCGCTGCATTAGTGTGTGAGCGGAAATCGGAACTGGTGTTAGCATAAGCAGGAAATGCCTCCGGTGGCTAAAATAAACAGGGCGTACAGGTGTCCTGAGTCTTGAATAAACAGGGCGCACAGGTGTGCTGAGCGGAAGGAAGTGCGTGTTTGCGTAGGCGTATACTGGAAGATTCGTGACCACACGAAGTTGCATAGACGACATACCGGAAGAATGCGTAGCCATGTGAATTTGTGTAGGTGTTCAAATGTTAAATAACCGGTTCGATTCTTGATTTGGAGAGAGGCTGGCTAGAGTATAGTTTTTCTCCTCTCTTGTCGATCTCTCTGTCTCTGGGCAGAGAGAAACCCAGACAGAGTCTCGTCTGGGGAGGTAGCTAACCACAGTCAGAGAGCCGATCCTGTACTGCTATTTAATCCATAGCAAAATAATTTATAGTTTTAAATATTTTAAAATTCTGCATTAATCTGTAGCGGTTAAGTGATAGTGTCATTAAATAAAAAAAAAAACTCATCATAATTGGCAAAGCTAACTACAATTCAGTGACCCTCAATGTTTTAAAAAGAATGTTGATTTTTTGTGCGTATAAACGTACCGATTTTTGTAAATACAGTTGTCCATACGCGACATTATCAGAAAATAAGAGCAGTAACTATACTAAGTTTAAAATTTGTTAGTCATTTTGTAACATTTTCTCAACAAGCGTCTTCGTAAGTAAGACTATAACACCAAAGTACCGAAAATACAATAAAATATTACTTTCTTAAATTTTTAAGATTACTGGGTAGTTAAAAAATGACATTAAAAGACGTTCAAACTGTATTCGTCAAGTAATTTTTACAGTTATGTTACCTTTATTTAAATATCAAACATTAAATTATCAATTAATCTATTAAAAATGCTTTTCTGCGATATTTTAACTAAAAATAAGTAATATTTGTTTTAATTCAGATGAATTAAACTTTAAATCAGTTAATCTTTTTCAAATGAAGTTTCAGAAAAGTATATTTTATTTTTGAAAAGGGAATTATGCATTGACTAATTTGTCAATATGTCCGAATTTAGCAAATTAAAAATTATTCCAAAAAATTTAAATTCTTTTTGAAATATAGCAAAGTATTTGGTTTATTGGAAATATTAAATTTAATTTATTAGCTTGAAATTAAAACTGAAATAAATAAAAGCTTCAAGAAAGATTTATCATTTTAAAAATGCATTTTAAACCTTAAGTATTGCTTTTTATTGGAGATACCTAATTTTATATTATTTTTATTATCCTATTTTAACTAAAGTGATGTTTTGGATATCGGTTGAGGAAAGAGCTTTGGCCTTAATAACACTTACCATCGAGAGAGTAGGCAGGATTCTCTAGCCTTGAGTAGCAACCAGTCTAATTGAAAGGTAACATTGGATTTCAAACCACTCCACTATATTTCCCACAAATTGTCTGGCATTTCAAAGATAATAAAGAAAAGGAACCTGTGAAAGCCATAATCGCCCTCATTCTAAAAGAATATTGCATTAATATATAGTATTTAATTTTTGCCTGCTGATGAGCCAGCGCGGCTTAGTTGATAAGGCGACGGCCATGTTAGTCAAACACCCGGAATATACGATGTGATTCATGGTGTTGACTTAACAGTATTAGGATGGGAAAACGACTTGACAGAAAATGCGATGTGTCCTTAGGGGATAAAGGCTAAATTAAATAATCCATTGAGGTTGATATGCCGTAAAACCAAACCAACCCAAACTAGAAACTAGTCTCACAGACTCATAGTATGATACTGAGAGCCATAAACTTGTGGCCTTGTACCGTACTTTTCACCCTAAACTTGTGACCTTGGACAGTATTTAGCGCACTAATCTTGTAGCGTCGTATCCTATTTGGAGTTCTAAATTTGTGGCCTTGGACTGTACTAAGTTTTATACATAAAGATGCCTCGCCGTGGGACAAAATTTAGTACACTAGTCTCGGTGACCATTACTGCTGAAGTGAGTTTAAGTCATAGTAGGCCCTTATATTTGAGCCCTTCTGCCGGGTTCTTCTTCTTCTATGTAACGTGACCCTTCAGGACCTAAGTGATCATAGCTCTCCACAACTTCCTGTCCTTTGTGGTTTGTCGTTTCGTTATCTCTGTCAGTTCTTGTGCTGCCATGCATTTACACAGTCTCGTTAGGTAGGCCACTAACTGTTTCTCCTTTGTTCTTCTTGCCTTTGGTATGCCCTGTGAGAGTCAGATTCTCCAGGCCGTCTTTCCTCAATATTTTAACACTCTTTCTAATTCTAAACTATAAGCGAGCTTTCCGTTTCCATTTTCCATTCACATATTCAGCTCGCTATATTCTCAGCATCCTTCTGCAGAACCACATCCCTGTTACCTCAAGTCTCGTCATCGTCTGTGGGGGAGATTGTTCAAAATTCACTGCCATGGGGAGGGACTGATACTATATTCTAGTTAAAGATTCTTCTTGGTTTCTAACGAAATTTTACCGTTTCTTAATACTTTGCTTAGCTTTTGGAAGGCATCGTTCACTATTGAAATGCGCCTTCGGATTTCAGTGTCACATTCATTAAAATAATAGATTATGCAAAAGCATTTGACAAGGTACGGCACAAGGATCTATTTGAAATGATAGGAAAACACGATCTACTTGGAAAGAATGTTGGAATTTATACTGGGGCAAGCCGCTGCATTCGGACAGAAAATGAATTGAGTAGCAAAAAATAGAAAGGGGGGGGTTCTCCCCAATTTCATTCAACCTCTACAGCGACGCCATCTTAGGAGAATTGGAGACCCAACCAAGATTTTATTATCGCCGGGCGTAAGCTTAACATCTTAGCAGAAGACACTGTGTTGATGGCTGACTTGAAAAGAAAACTACCCCCTAGACAGGGTAGTACAACCCCCCCCCCAAAAAAAAAACAGAAAAAAAGAACCATCAACTGTAAGAAGACAGAAAGTATGATGATCAGCAAGAGGAAAAGCCCCAAATTATTTTCTTTTGATGTGCCGTGTCCTTTCAGGACGTAGGCGATCATGGCTCTCCACCTCCTTCTATCCCTTGCAGTTCTCAACAAGTTCCTTCCTTTTGCCACCTTCCCCAGACCCCGTTCTCTCATCCACTTGCTTACGTCCGCCAGGTTGTTTTCCCTTGTTTCTCTTTCCCCCTATTTGACCCGTGAGTATCAGATTCTCCAGGCCTTCCTTCCTCATTATGTGTCCCAGAAACTTTAGCTGCCTCTTCCTGATGTTAAGTATAAGCCCCCTCCTTGTTTGCGTCCTCTCTATGACCTCATCATTGCTCCCACGCTCAGTCCATGATATCCTTAGCATCCTTCTGTAGAACCACATCTCTGTCACCTCGATTCTCTTCTTCATCCTTGAGGAAATCGTCCAGCATTCGCTGTCGTAAGGAAGGACAAATATCACGTAACACGTCAGTATTCTTTTGGATCTCAGTTTTGCACTTACCTTCCTCTGTCAAAACGCTTCCCAGATATTTAAACTTCCGCGTCTGCTTGATTCTAGTGTCCCCGACCTGTAAATCGCATTTCGGCCTCATCCTTTTACTGATGACCATGCATTCTGTCTTCTTGTAGTTTATACTTAGTCCTTTCTTCACACTCTCCGTCGTTACCTTCTGTAGGAGATTTTGTAATTTCTTTTCCGTGTCTGCTATCAGTACTGTGTCGTCTGCGTATCTTGTGTTGTTAAGATTGTGGTTGCCAATACTAAATCCCGGTAGGGTTTCCAATTCTCTCAGAATTGCCTCGCTGTATAGGTTGAATAAGTCCGGCGAGAAGACGCATCCTTGTCTTACGCCCCTTTCTATTTTTGTATATTCACTGAACTCGTTCCTTATGCGCATGCATACTGTTTGCTGTATATTTCCTTGATTATCCTGATATCCCTCCCGAATATATCGAGGTTGCTGAGTAGTTCCATCATATCGTTGTAGCGTAGTTTGTCGAAGCCTTTTGCGTAGTCTATGAAACATAGGTACACGTCCTTCTGCATCTGGATCGCCCTTTCTGATAACATTCTGAGCATGAATATTGCTTTCCTTGTTCCGGTGTCTTTAACGAACCCGCACTGTTCTTGTCCTATCTCTGACCTGATTCTGCTACGCGCTGCATTTGTCAGAATACGGATGATGCGTTTTGTCACGTGGCTCATTAGGCTTATTGTTCGGTGGAATTCGCATTCGTTTGCGCCTGGTTTCTTAGGCATAGCTATGAAGATAAATCTGGTGAGCTCTTCCGGTATATCCCCGCTGTTGAAGATTTCATTTGTTATTTCGGTGATCTTGTCTATGCCAAAGTCATCTAAGGCTGTCAGCATTTCCGTTACAATTCCGTCTGGCCCAGCTGCCTT